ACTGGATATACTGGGTTTAAAAAATGATAAAACCTCCGAGCTGTTTATGAAATGGTATCGTTTTCTGTCATCGTGTTAGTCTCATCCTCTCTGATATCTGACATGACGGCCCCCCCCCCCACCCTCCTCTTTCCATTCTCCAGCAGAACTATCATTACAATCGCTATTCCGCCAGGAAGCTGTTGGTTTTTTTTGGTAATTGTTTTGAAGCGCTCACAATTGCATAAGGTCATATGAGCGTGCGGGACACATTAAACATTAATTTTCAGTTGGTAGAAAGTTTTGAATTTTGCCCGGGGAGCGGTCGAAGCCTACTCTTATCGATTTTGGACCACAAAGGGATCTTGAACGTGCGCAACTTTCACACGGGACCTTCGAGAATTTTCGCCGTCATCCGAGAAGGCTAGGTGTTAGATATTACCTACCATAAGATCAGGGGTGTGGATGAAAGGCAGCAGTAAGAAGGAACCGAGGAGAAGCAGTAGAAAGGCCGCAGAAAGAATCAGGAGTCTTGAGGAGGGGGAGGGGGCAAAAAGTGGAGACGAAAGCAGACAACAGAATATGGTTAGAAAGCAGGAAAGGAGGTGAAAGGAGACAATTTTGGAGAAGAAAATTTTCCGTCGCTATCCGGATTCGAACCCGGGACCTATTGAACGAGAGGCAAACTCCGAAACCTCTTGACTACGAGAGACACCTGCAAGCTGTTCCAATGTCCTAATGTCCTAAGCCCAGAAAGGAACATGTTTCAGAAAAAAGACGAACTGTTTCATTTTTTTAACAATTGGACCTAATACATGACATGTTAAAAACTTAAAGTTCTAATTTAGACACAATACTTCTTGAGCACATGCAATCAATACCAAAAATCCGAAAACTGCAAAGATGACGAAAAAAATAATCAAATTCTGGGACTTAGTGGCTTACATTTATTGAAAAACTGGCTAACGATTCTCGCCTCTCTTCACAATCGCATAGACTAGGCCTGCGTTACGCCAAGTTTCTAGATTATCTATGTCTTAGAAAAAAAAATTAAAAACAGGCCCACTGCTTGTTTGTCGCTGAATGCGATAAAATTAAGCAGAACAGAAAGCTTGTAACATAACAGTTTGCACAATTTCAACACATTTTTCCGTAACCTACAAATGTCGGCACCAAAATCAGGTCAAGCGGAGAAAAGAAGTAAAACAACGTTTAAATAGTGCTGGGCGGCGAGATTCCCGGTTATTGAGAGCTAGGAATCGTAGGACTCGACTCCGAATCCAATTACTTACTTTCTAATGATGTGATATCTTCCGGTGGTTTCCTGTTTGGCTCCGAACATCCCCAGGATTTAGGGTAATCTTGATCTCGGAACACTGCGAAGAATGAACTTTTATTTTTCAAAAAGAGATTCTAAAAACAATGAAGAAGATTTTAATGATCGAATGAACTTGTAACCGTTGGTTTACGTAACAAGGAGTCGGAACTTTTCTTCAGTAGCACTAATCGTGGGAATCAGTTCCGGAATCGATTCTTCGCCCAGCTCTAGTTTAAATTGCGTTCTTTTCCTGCACTAATGACGAAATAGTGACTCTAAGGAAAGTATGACCGGCCGCCGTTGCGCAGTTGACAGCCGAAGTTAGTCAACCGTTGGGAGGTTGGGGTTTGAATTTCTGAGGAATCAAGATCTTTTTATTTTCTTCCATGCCATGAATTCCCACCAAGCTTGGGGTCCGCAAAAGGGGAACAAGCGCTCTACCTTTGAAAAGACATAATACCATTTGTACCAAAGGCCTTTCAGCTTCACTGACTGCTTTAAAAAAAAGAAGAAAAAAAGACTATCATATTATTATTCATGTTTTCCGGCTTAAAAAATACACGTATGGCTGAAGGGTTTTATCGTGATGAAGGTGTTCCTGTAACGTACATGAATGACACCTGTGACTTGTCTCCAGTGTGACGTGTCACACACACACACACACACACACACACACACACACACACACACACACACACATACATACACATACATACATACATACATACACACACATACATACAAATAAACACACACACATACACACATATACACATAGGCGTAGACACCCATACACATAAATACACACACACACATACACTTAAACACACACACATACACACATATACACTCATATAGATCTTCACATACACATAAACACACACACACACATACGCATACACACACATACACACACATACATACACACAAACACACATACACATAATCACATATACATATATACACACATATACACATAGACATACACACATTCACATGCACACATACACACGGACATACACCTAAACATACACAAACACACACATATATATATATATA